GTTTACAGTATATGGCAAACCTCAAATCAATATACAAACATGCTAAAAAAAAAAGGCACAAGATTGAGGCTCAAAAGTGCTATAACATGAAGTATACAAAATAATCACCAAAACAGAAAAAAAATGTTAATGAAACATGAATTATAGGCCAAAAGAGGGCCATCTCTAGGCCTGTAAAATGGCCAAAACAAAAGCATGATTAGGCTAACAAAACATGCAAGAATGGGGAATAAAAGAGAGATATAACATGAAGTGGCAAATGGAGGTCCCAAATCATGAAGGCCATAAATGAAACATAAGAATGGACCAAAATAAGACTATTTTCAGAACTGTAAAAGGGCCAAACGAAAGCATGGTAGGTGCCAATAGCATGCAAAAATGGGGGCCAAATAAGGGATATAACTAACAAGTGCACAATGGAGGCATGAAATGGTGAGAGGCCCTTCAACAATGTTGAAGAAGGGCCCAAAATAAGCACATTCACAGATTACATCATGCTCAAAAACAGATTACTCATGGGCCAGTGAATTACTGGTCGGCCTACCCATATTGGTGGCCTCCCAGATGAGTAGAACACAGCCCTGTGGAGAAAAACCAGAAAATGTGACCCAGGAGAGAGAAAAGCTAGCTTTTTAACAAGGTTCAAAAGGGTCAAGAAGAATTACTGGTCGGCCTACCCATATTGGTGGCCTCCCAGATAAGTAGATCATCATGGTGGTATGAAAAGCCAGAAAATGTGGCTCAAAAGTGAAAAAAACCAGCTTTCTATTGCACACCTCCAGTATTTCGGGTTCCTGCAAAACTTCTGCTGATGTGATTTTTGCGCTCGAGCGGGTTTGTTTACGCTCGAACGGTGGCGCTCGAGCAGGTTTGTTGGCGCTCGAGCGGATAGTACTTCCTGGGTATAAATTCTGGGAGGGGGAAATCTACGCTCGAGCGGACTGGTTTTCGCGCTCGAGCGGATGTGCTTTACTCTTGTGTCTTGGCGCTCGAGCGAGCCTTATTGCGCTTGAGCGTGTCCAAATTTTGGTTCTTGACGCTCGAGCGTTGTGTTTTCCGCTCGAGCGGGAATGTCGTATAACAGAGGGCAGCTAGGCATTTTTGAATCATTTTCTACACTTCCTCTCTCTCTCCTACTTTCTAAAAAGATATTTTGAGAGCCTCTCTCTCTAGAAATTCCCTTCTCTCTAGGGTTTGATCTAGTTAGAGTGCTTTCCTTCCCTTTGCCCTTTGTAAAAGTTGTGTTGATCGTCGAGGGCTTCGTTTTGATCCGTGAATCTTGGAGTTTGGAGCATTTTAGTTTTCTACATCTTCTCCTCTTGGGCTCCGAAATTGAGGTAAGGATTTCTACTCACTTTTATGGTCTTTAACATAGATTTTTGGTGATTTTGATTAAGTGTTGAAGTTGGGAAATTTTGGGACTTAGGGTTTCAAAATGTCAAAGAGGGTTTTATTATTTTGATTCTAAAATGAGTATTTTGAGTTTCAAAATAGCAGTATTGATGTTGATTGCTGATATATGGACCATTGGGTCAATATTGGAAAATGGGGGAGAAAGCCCTAATTCGTTGTGTAAATTAATTGGTATAATTAATTTGGGAAAAATGTTGATATTTGGAATTGAGTTGGAAATAATGAAGTTAACTCATTATATGGTAGAATAGTGGAGTTGGATTTGTTAATCGTCCACTTTTGAAAACATTGATATTTTATCTGTTGAAGCTTTTATTATCTGTTTAGAAATAGCTGCTTGGGCTACCGGTGGAGGGTAGTTTTGGTTGTTGTAGACAATGCATGATGATTAGGCAAACTAAAACTAATCAATTGGATATGTCATAGAGTATGACGGTTGATAGAATACATTAATGATTATGTATTGATTGATTGTGTATATGACCTTTGTGTATATATGCATTGTGTGTGTGGGAGGAGATATGGGATGTACTCCACGGTTTAGGGGAAGATAGGGGATGGACCTCTAAACCGGATGTTGTGTGGGAGGAGATAGGGGATGGACTCCACTGATACAACTCATATTCTTGTCAGATAATGTGTTGATACAGCTCATATGCTTGTCATTGGAAGTGTTGATACAGCTCATATGCTTGTCATGGGAAGCGTTGATATAGCTAATATGCATATCTGTTGAAATATGGATATAGCTTGTATGCTTATCTGTTGAGATATTGATATAACATGTGTGTTTATCTATTGTAAAAATGGAAAACGTTTAATATGAGTCTTGGTCTCATATAAGTGGTTGGCCAGGTTCTGAGCCATTGATGGAAATTGTAAAATTGATAAGAAATGGAAATGGATTATGAATTAGTTTATGGAAATTGAACACTTATCAATTGCTAATGTCTTAGTCATTGCTCATACTGTGTTTAGCATATCTCTACTGGGCTGTAGCTTACCCTATATGGGAATATCATTTTCAGGTACAGGTAGCATGCCACCTCCAAGGACATAGCTTGGGAGGCTAGAGGCGGACACACTTTTGTTGTCTTATTTCTTTTTGATGTATTACATGTAAATTCAAGCCAAGGGCTTAATGTGTAAATGAGTTAGTACTCTTTTATTGTAACCAAGTGTTAACTTGGAAAGCTGTAAGCCCTTAGGGCATTTGCTTTTGTCGTTAACATGTAATACTTTTTGTAATGGAATTCTGATGAATAGAAGAATGTGGAGCTTTTTTATATATCAATGCATGTCTATATTGATGGGTTTAATGTTATTATTTTGAGGGCGTTACACGGAGTATAGGATCAAAAAGAGAAGAAAAAAAGGCCATAACTCACAAAAATCCTAACGTAACACAAACGTTGAAGAAACGTAAACAATTACTTGCCAATTGGAGTACAGGATCAAGTGAGGGATACAACTATGCAAAAGAGAGTCATCGGTGGTGGTGAGATCGTGTACAAAGAGATATTGGACGAAAGGATTGAAAATGCATTTGGCAATGGTAAAAGGTGGTGGTGGGATGAATATAGGGAGGCAGACATATATATACTAACAAAATTTTTAAAAAGAAAGTATGAATTATAGTATCAACTTCTACTAGTTTAAAAAGTGAAAATAAGGTGAAAATACATATAAATAGCATGTTTTTTGAATTCATATTTAGTTACAAAAAATAGCAACTATAAAAAATCTATATATTAAAGTGAGGCATCTTTGTATTGTTGTGCTCAACATTAGTTCATGTTATTAAAAATGTCCATAATAAAATCAATATTCAAATCTTGTACAATGTCCTTCTCAATGAACATGATTAAACAATTAGCTAATACCTTATTTGATTCTTTAGAAACTTGGACTTGTAATTAACAATAGTTATAACAAAGAATTTTTTTTATTATTTTTGTCTCTTTTTTTAATTTTGTATTTTGATCATACGTTTCATATGTATAGAGTGACAACCACTTAAAATTTTTCTAAAAGAAGAAAAATGTACAAAGGATGAGTCTCTATGATATGTAAATTATTGTAACTAGTACTACTATCATAAATGGTGTTTTTGAAATCATAGGAAGGGGATTGCCCCCTCTGGGTCCATCATTGCCAAGAGTCATAGAGATGCTAGTACAGTATTGAAATAAGAAAAGAGTGTGAGAAAAGTGAGAGGATGGAGAAAAAGACACGAAAACTATTCTAGAAACGAATAGAAATCTTCAAAGATGGAGATTACCCTAATGCTGTGTTTGGTTGGGGGATTTGGGGTGGAATTTGGAAAAGGAATGAGAAATGTAATCCTATTTATGTTTGGTTATAATAAAAAAATATATGGGAAAAGAAAGGGAGTGAGAAATAAATAAAGAAATAGGAGACCTTTTACGCTGTGTTTGGTTAAGGGATTTGGAAAGGAAAATGGAAATAAAAGGAAAAGGAGAAAGAATTAATAGAATTCCAAATCCCAACTATGTTTGGTTGTGTTGGGAATCCAAGGAGGAAAAGAAATCATTTCTCATGAACTCTCTCATTGTCCTTCATCACACACAGAATTGTAGACATGGATTGCAATAACAAAAAATAAGGTTGCACATGATCAAAGTGCTATTTGTTTTTTAGAAAAAAAAAAACAAAACAAAACAAAAAATTAATTAATTTTTTTTAAAAAAATAAAAGATCAATCAAAATAAAAAATTAATTTATTATATTTTGATAAAAATAAAAAATATATATATATTAATTTGATAAAAAATTAATCAATCAAAATAAAAAATCAATCAAAATAAAAAAATTAAAAATTAATTTGATAAAAATAAAAAATCATAACTAAACAAAACTTTATTATATTTTCTTGAATCCACTATAGACACCAGTTTAAATTGAACATAATGATGATTCCAAGAGTTCTATTATGATGATCAGAATAATCTCACAAGCATTACCAAAAAAAAAAACAAAGAAATAACATCAATGTATCATAGTACAGCAATGCATCACAACCACCTACAGACAGCTAGCATCAGCAGCAGCATAAGTGCAGAACACCAAACCAAAGCATAAGACAGCATCAGCAGCAGAACATCAAAACCAAGACACCAGACTCATCCACCAAAAACAAAGAAATAACATCAATGTATCATAGTGCAGCAATGCATCACAACCACCTACAAACAGCTAGCATCAGCAGCAGCATAAGTGCAGAACACCAAACCAAAGCATAAGACAGCATCAGCAGCAGAACATCAAAACCAACACCAGACTCATCCACCAATATAGAAAACATAACATCAATGTATCATAGTGCAGTAATGCATTACAACCAGAATAACAGATTCATCTACCAAAATAGACTCACCACCAACTAAGAGAGTCTACATACAAAAAATCCAAGCCTAATGATATTTTCATAAATTTACCAAATCCCTGAAATATTCAAATAAAAAAGTACCAACGAAAGAAAAATAGTACTACGCATCAAAGATTGAAGATCCGAATTTAACAGACAACCAAAGACCTCGGCGTTCAATAGGGCATTCTAGGTACGTTCAAGCATCACTCACTTCTTTAGCAAGAACTTGATACACCTTCATTCGAGAAGCACCACTCATGCCACTAACCTTCTCAATCTCCTCAAATAATTGTCCATTTGTGTAGTTCTGAAGGTTACCACGATCAAGCGCTGCTGCAACTGCATCTAGACCTTCCTTAATTGACCTTATTTCCTTACTCAGAGTGTCACCTAATTTATTCTCTCTCTTCTTTGAGTTAGAGGAACAAGATACTTCAACAGTTTGGTCATCTTGAGTTCCAATCCCATCAAAATTCTCTGAGAGTGACTCAGTATGATCAGTATTTTCATCATCCAAAAGAATTTATTGCCCAGCCCAACGAAGTTGCTTTTCTTTTGGACCTATAGCAAGACTCCCAGTTGCTCAATCCTTTTTGAAGAGTTGACATAACTTTTGAAAGTTTTGAATTGGAGCATGTTGAAACTGAGAAGCTTTAGGCTTTGCCTATAGAGAATAGCATATATAATATTATATTAAATAATGATGAACAAATATTGTAATTTTCTAGTACAGAACTACATTAATCTGACAATTAGATATACCTTGAGGTAAGCTGCCCATACACCTGTTGTAGCTTCAATCAGTTGTGTTGAATGATTATATCCAAATCCACTATCAGTTGTTAACATATCTTTAGCCATTGCAAGATTCCTTTTTAAAGTCTTCAACCGATTCCTTACATGACTGGAATCACAATGTACACTAAACTTGGTACTCACCGCATTGCTTGCAGCTCTATAAGCAGATGATGTAAAACTACCACCAATTTTTTGCCCTTTGAGCATTTGGTCCAAGAGTGAGTCAATAAGAACAACATCCATTTGATTATTCCATTTCAAATGTTTCTTGTCAATTTCTACTGAACATTCTTGGTCACCTTCCACCTACACTCAAAAATGCCATAAAACATATCGGAAGAAGAGCATAGCTAGTAGCAAATTATCACCCAAACAAACGCAATGTTTCACATAATACAATAACAAATTAAAATATAATTCATTCCAAGATAACATTCAAATAATAATAATTAACTTGTCAATTTTTTGTTTTATCAGCAAAAGAAAAAGATTATATTGATGTAAAGCAAATGAGTACATAATGGGTACATCGCAAGAACAAGAACAAAAACATCAAATAACCCTTCTAGCCCCTCTCTGTTTTCCAAAATCCATATTATAATTTGATTGTCATTGAAGATTTATATCATAATCTCTCCACATGTCAGTAGCTATTCGCTCCCTTAACAATTCTCCTTCCCTACATTCTTCAGCTAAACTTGATCTAGCCACGTTAGATTGCACTTGTGCTCTTCTAAGCTCTGTATCAACCTCCTCAATAAGACTATCATTGGGATCAATACCCATGAGGTGGTTGCGCAAAATACAATAGGCCAAAACAATATCTGCTTGAGTGTCAACATCATAATATGGCTCTGTCCCACTTCCTAAAATTGGAAACCTTTTCTTTAGGACACCAAAGGCTCTTTCAATTGCATTTCGCAAAGATGCATGACGAAGGTTGAAAAGCTCTCGAGAATTTTCTGGTTGATGAACACTATACTCCTTCAAATGGTAACGAGTACTTCTATATGGAGCAAGGAACCCAGTTTTTAGTTGAAATCCTGCATCTACTAAGTAATATTTCCCTAGGACCAACAAGTAACTAAATGATGTTAGTTTGAAAGAAAACAAAAATAGATTTATATTCATCAGCATATATACACGTTCAGTGATCACCTTGAGGAACGATCAATTTATCCATTTCTCTTGTTAATGCATTATCTAATATTCTCGAGTCTGAAGCAGATCCTTCCCATCCTGGAAGGATATATGTAAACTTTAAATCAAAAGAACATGCAGCCAAAGCATTTTGAGTGGGATAGCATTTTCGTCCTCGGTATCTTTGTGCATCCTTGTTTGGCACTCTTACACGAAAATGTGTACCATCAATCGCACCAACACAATCCTGTAAAAATTCATTATTTTTATCCAAACATATAATATTATATACCCTAATTGCATTCATGTAACTACCTTAAAATATGGCCAATACTTGGGATTGTTTCTAATCTTTGGAGGGCAATTGAATACATCAGGTTGCTTTAAAAAGATATCTTCCAATGATATAATGGCTTTAAGAACTTGATGAAAATGTCAACTAATAGTCTCACCTGATCGTCTGTAAAAGAACTTGATCGTACGATTCCTCAAATTATGGCCAATTATATGAAGGAATTTTGCAACTTGTTCTTCTACTTTACTTTGAGGATTGTCTCTAAGAAACTGAGTTCTTTTAAGCATGCTAGCTAGTGTGGCAAACGCATCTTTGCTCATGCGTAACTGGCTACGACAATCTGCATCTTCCAAAGTCGTTAGCCATTTAATTAGGGCATATCTTTCATAATCTCCTTGTTCTGAAATTGACTTCCTTATATGATCACGACAATGAAAAATTGAGACAAGGCTGACAGCATATGACGCATACATAGCTACACAAGTGGCTGTCCACTTTCTATACTTTTCCCACTCCTCTTGATCATGTATCTACAATTTTTTAATAGAAAAAATCACATCCACTTGTTAATAATGTTCCAGAATTGAAATGATACTTCAAAAAGTTCATAGACTAGGCAACACTCAAAATGACAACCCATTTGATTGGTTAACTTGAAGCATGTAAAAGTGAATAGGAGACAAGAAGTTGATGCAGAAATATGAATTAATAGGCCTCCTTTTCATTAGTAATTTTCATTAGTTGTCGTCCATCTATTGCTTAAGCTATGATTAGACTTATAATGAATTAAACAAGATGTGTGTATCCCTCCTCCCAACAGAAAATGAGAAACAACAAACATATGGATCCAAACAGAAAATGGCATTGGCAGTGAAATACATGAGCTAAACATTGAGATTTCCATCTTATAAAGAAGAGTAAAATAAAGGATACAAATGTCATACAAAGGCAGCACAATAATGAACCCCACTTATTGTCGTAGTATCACTGCCATCTCTATCTTGGCAGTCTTCTCAAGCATTCTAAGCAGGAAAGGACGCTAATGGATTTAATCCTAATAAAGGCTTCATATAAATGCCTAATTCAGGATCACTTGTGAAGATGAAAACTGCAAAGAGTGCTATAACCAGTGGTGGACCCAGAAATCATGAGTGGAGGTGCCATGTTAACTCAAAATTAAAACAGTGAATTTGTGACGAAATGAAAATAGAACCATCTAATAGTAATGACGTTAGCAAATTCTCCAATATGACAATAGTCATTTATCAAAAATGAGGCATTCAAATGCTTGCAATCAACGAAAAAGGTCCAGTTAGACTGTTAAAGGAACATGTGTGGGGAGAACACAAAATAACCTCAAACTCATCAAGGAAAAAAAAAACTAAATAGAATACAACTTCTAAGGCTCGAGGAACCCTAAGCATGTTTGGTTGGAAAAGCCAAAAAAACTTGTATGGTAGGCTGCTTGAATTGATTATCATGAAAACAGAAATAGGTCACAAAATATTCTATTTTGCAATTTTTTGCATAATGAAGCATTAAAGAAACAAAAAACAATAACCATACAAACCGCAGACACAAGATAACGAAACCAACCACGATGGCAATGACAACAATGGAGACAACGATATTAACCTGTTCTGAGGCATATGCTAACCTATTGAATATACTATTGGTTCACAGATTCAAATTTGAGCCAGAAATAGTTAACTATACAACACAGCTTGTCATTGTTTCAACTCTGCTGTCAAGGCCCAGTTGCATGTTGCTCAAATCTGAGAATCTTGAGCAGTGACGGTCCATAGTAGCTCTCTTGTGGAATAAACTATACAACACAAAGCTCTCACAGAAAAGTTGAAAACCCAAACAAAATCTCCCTCCCATCATCACCGCTTTGTGGGCTCTATATGATCTCATAACGGCTGATTCAAGTTCAATGCTAGTCCACACATTTCGTGTGGAGTGTGGGATTGAAAACAACCATTTATGAAATGTCTCTTCCTGTTTAATACACTATATGGCTCTGGATAATCATGTGGCTTGAAACTGTAGGCTGTTTTTGAGAGCCACTCAAAATTTCAAGGTCTTCTTTGAAACATCTACAAGTCCTTGTCTTGTTTGTACTTACAAACGAAACAGGGTACAGAAATATTGGTCTGATAATATTATGGTGGACGAATTTATTATTATATAAATTTGTTACTAGAACTTGATATACTTGAGCTGATTTCTGTGTCAGTCAACTAAACTACCACTCTCAAAAACATAAAAATAAAATGAGAGAGGGGCAAATTCCATTTTATTACTAAACTGTGCATATAATCTATGGGTAATTCTATTTCTATGCATTAATTCCTGATTGAAAACAAAACTGTGTATGTATATTACTAAACTGTGCATATAATCTATGGGTAATTCTATTTCTATGCATTAATTCCTGATCGAAAACGAAACTGTGTATGTATATTACTAAACTGTGCATATAATCTATGGGTAATTCTATTACTCTCAACAAATCCATATATCTATAATCTCTAATTCGTAATAAAATATATATATATAGAGAGAGAGAGAGGTGTGTGTATGTATGGAATTTTCAATACAGATATGAGTTTGATGAGAGGAGAAGAGAAAACGAAAGAGGGGCACCAATACCTGATCGAAACTTTCGGGCAATGAATTATCAATCGAGTTCAGTGATTGAAGATCACCAATTGAAGCAGATGATGATCCCCGATTGGAGTGATTTTCTGAATGATGCTGCAAATCAGAAATTCCTACCCGAGTTAGATCTGCAATTTCACTTCGAAGCAAAATTGTAAAGCAGCTTGAACATAAATAAACAAATCGGTGGAAATCAATAGAGATCTGAGTTTGATGAGAAGGTAAGAGAAAATGAAAGAGGAGCACAAATACCTGATTGAAAAATCCAGGCAATGAATCTTCAATCGAGTTCATTGATTGAAGATTACCAATTGAAGCAAATGATGATCCCTGATTGGAAGGGTTTGCTGAATGATTCTGCGAATCAGAGTTTGCTACTGGAGTTGGATCTTCAAAACTCGTCGATGGTGGTTTTTTGAAGCTACTCATGAATGGTCTCCTACGAGAAGCCATGAACAATGAAACTCTCTTTCCCCGATAAATTTTCCCCCTCAGTTTTCCCGGTCTTTCTCACAGATATAAAATAGAATTGAAAACTGTAGGCTGTTTTTGAGTGGCTCTCAAAAACAGCCTACAGTTTCAAGCCACATGATTATCCAGAGCCATATAGTGTATTAAACAGGAAGAGACATTTCATAAATGGTTGTTTTCAATCCCACACTCCACACGAAATGTGTGGACTAGCAATGAACTTGAATCAGCCGTTATGAGATCATATAGAGCCCACAAAGCGGTGATGATGGGAGGGAGATTTTGTTTGGGTTTTCAACTTTTCTGTGAGAGCTTTGTGTTGTATAGTTTATTCCACAAGAGAGCTACTATGGACCGTCACTGCTCAAGATTCTCATATTTGAGCAACATGCAACTGGGCCTTGGCAGCAGAGTTGAAACAATGACAAGCTGTGTTGTATAGTTAACTATTTCTGGCTCAAATTTGAATCTGTGAACCAATAGTATATTCAATAGGTTAGCATATGCCTCAGAACAGGTTAATATCGTTGTCTCCATTGTTGTCATTGCCATCGTGGTTGGTTTTGTTATCTTGTGTCTGCGGTTTGTATGGTTATTGTTTTTTCCTTCTTTAATGCTTCATTATGCAAAAATTGCAAAATAGAATATTTTGTGACCTATTTCTGTTTTCATGATAATCAATTCAAGCAGCCTACCATACAAGTTTTTTTGGCTTTTCCAACCAAACATGCTTAGGGTTCCTCGAGCCTTAGAAGTTGTATTCTATTTAGTTTTTTTTTTCCTTGATGAGTTTGAGGTTATTTTGTGTTCTCCCCACACATGTTCCTTTAACAGTCTAACTGGACCTTTTTCGTTGATTGCAAGCATTTGAATGCCTCATTTTTGATAAATGACTATTGTCATATTGGAGAATTTGCTAACGTCATTACTATTAGATGGTTCTATTTTCATTTCGTCACAAATTCACTGTTTTAATTTTGAGTTAACATGGCACCTAAATTGGAAAATTTTTTCATTTGAAAACTCATTCACCTTATTGGATTTCCCAGTTGTTGTCCTTTTTGTAATAAATTTGCATTCTATTGTAGCTTACCAATTATTTGAAGAGGTTGTCAATGTTACGCGATCTTGGGTAGAACTCAACCCCAAAAGCTAGCTTAAGGGGTGAGGGTGCCCTCATGCTTATATGCTTAACATTATTTTAGTACTCGGGCAATGTGGGACTTTGCTTCACAGTCAAACCAATCAAACTTGCTCAATTGCACATTAGTTTGGCCCCCTCTACTCATGATTTCTGGGTCCACCACTGGTTATAGCACTCTTTGCAGTTTTCATCTTCACAAGTGATCCTGAATTAGGCATTTATGAAGCCTTTATTAGGATTAAATCCATTAGCTTCCTTTCCTGCTTAGAATGCTTGAGAAGACTGCCAAGATAGAGATGGCAGTGATACTACGACAATAAGTGGGGTTCATTATTGTGCTGCCTTTGTATGACATTTGTATCCTTTATTTTACTCTTCTTTATAAGATGGAAATTTCAATGTTTAGCTCATGTATTTCACTGCCAATGCCATTTTCTATTTGGATCCATATGTTTGTTGTTTCTCATTTTCTGTTGGGAGGAGGGATACACACATCTTGTTTAATTCATTATAAGTCTAATCATAGCTTAAGCAATAGATGGACGACAACTAATGAAAATTACTAATGAAAAGGAGGCCTATTAATTCATATTTCTGCATCAACTTCTTGTCTCCTATTCACTTTTACATGCTTCAAGTTAACCAATCAAATGGGTTGTCATTTTGAGTACTGCCTAGTCTATGAACTTTTTGAAGTATCATTTCAATTCTGGAACATTATTAACAAGTGGATGTGATTTTTTATATTAAAAAATTGTAGATACATGATCAAGAGGAGTGGGAAAAGTATAGAAAGTGGGCAACCACTTGTGTAGCTATGTATGCTTCATATGCTGTCAGCCTTGTCTCAATTCTTCATTGTCGTGATCATATAAGGAAGTCAATTTCAGAACAAGAAGATTATGAAAGATATGCCCTAATTAAACGGCTAACGACTTTGGAAGATGCAGATTGTTGTAGCCAGTTAAGCATGAGCAAAGATGCGTTCGCCACACTAATTAGCATGCTTAAAAGAACTCAGTTTCTTGGAGACAATCCTCAAAGTAAAGTAGAAGAACAAGTTACAAAATTCCTTCATATAATTGACATAATTTGAGGAACCGTACGATCAAGTTCTTTTACAGACGATCAGGTGAGACTGTTAGTCGACATTTTCATCAAGTTCTTAAAGCCATTATATCATTGGAAGATATCTTTTTAAAGCAACTTGATGGATTCAACTGCCCTCCAGAGATTAGAAACGATCCCAAGTATTGTCCATATTTTAAGGTAGTTACATGAATGCAATTAGGGTATATAATATTATATGTTTGGATAAAAATAATGAATTTTTACAGGATTGTGTTGGTGCGATTGATGGTACACATTTTCGTGTAAGAGTGCCAAACAAGGATGCACAAAGATACCGAGGACGAAAATGCTATCCCACTCAAAATGCTTTGGCTGCATGTTCTTTTGATTTAAAGTTTACATATATCCTTCCAGGATGGGAAGGATCTGCTTCAGACTTGAGAATATTAGATAATGCATTAACAAGAGAAATGGATAAATTGATCGTTCCTCAAGGTGATCACTGAACGTGTATATATGCTGATGAATATAAATCTATTTTTGTTTTCATTCAAACTAACATCATTTAGTTACTTGTTGGTCCTAGGGAAATATTACTTAGTAGATGCAGGATTTCAACTAAAAACTGGGTTTCTTGCTCCATATAGAAGTACTCGTTACCATTTGAAGGAGTATAGTGTTCATCAACCAGAAAATTCTCGAGAGCTTTTCAACCTTCGTTATGCATCTTTGCGAAATGCAATTGAAAGAGCCTTTGGTGTCCTAAAGAAAAGGTTTCCAATTTTAGGAAGTGGGACAGAGCCATATTATGATGTTGACACTCAAACAGATATTGTTTTAGCATGTTGTATTTTGCACAACTACCTCATGGGTATTGATCCCAATGAAAGTCTTATTGAGGAGGTTGATACAGAGCTTAGAAGAGCACAAGTGCAAACTAACGTGGCTAGATCAAGTTTAGCTGAAGAATGTAGGGAAGGAGAATTGTAAAGGGAACGAATAGCTACTGACATGTGGAGAGATTATGATATAAATCTTCAATGACAATCAAATTATAATGTGGATCTTGGAAAACAGAGAGGGGCTGGAAGGGTTATTTGATGTTCTTGTTCTTGCAATGTACCCATTATGTACTCATTTGCTTTACATCAATATAATCTTTTTCTTTTGCTGATAAAACAAAAAATTGACAAGTTAATTGTTATTATTTGAATGTTATCTTGGAATGAATTATATTTTAATTTGTTATTGTATTATGTGAAACATTGCGTTTGTTTGGGTGATAATTTGCTACTAGCTATGCTCTTCTTCCGATATGTTTTATGGCATTTTTTAGTGTACGTGGAAGGTGACCAAGAATGTTCAGTAGAAATTGACAAGAAACATTTGAAATGGAATAATCAAATGGATGCTATTCTTATTGACTCACTCTTGGACCAAATGCTCAAAGGGCAAAAAATTGGTGGTAGTTTTACATCATCTGCTTATAGAGCTGCAAGCAATGCGGTGAGTACCAAGTTTAGTGTACATTGTGATTCTAGTCACGTAAGGAATCGGTTGAAGACTTTAAAAAGGAATCTTGCAATGGCTAAAGATATGTTAACAACTGATAGTGGATTTGGATATAATCATTCAACACAACTGATTGAAGCTACAGCAGGTGTATGGGCATCTTACCTCAAGGTATATCTAATTGTCAGATTGATGTAGTTCTGTACTAGAAAATTACAATATTTGTTCATCATTATTTAATATAATATTAAATATGCTATTCTCTATAGGCAAAGCCTAAAGCTTCTCAGTTTCAACATGCTCCAATTCAAAACTTTCAAAAGTTATGTCAACTCTTCGAAAAGGATCGAGCAACTGGGAGTCTTGCTATAGGTCCAAAAGAAAAGCGACTTCGTTGGGCTGGGCAACAAATTCTTTTGGATGATGAAAATACTGATCATATTGAGTCACTCTCAGAGAATTTTGATGGGATTGGAACTCAAGATGACCAAACTGCTAAAGTATCTTGTTCCTCTAACTCAAAAAAGAGAAAAAATAAATTAGGTGACAATCTGAGTAAGGAAATAAGGCCAATTAAGGAAGGTCTAGATGCAGTTGTAGCAGTGCTTGATCGTGGTAACCTTCAGAACTACACAAATGGACAATTATTTGAGGAGATTGAGAAGGTAAGTGGCATGAGTGATGCTTCTCGAATGAAGGTGTATCAAGTTCTTGCTAAAGAAGTGAGTGATGCTCGAGCGTAACTAGAATGCCCTATTGAACGCCGAGGTCTTTGGTTGTCTGTTAAATTCGGATCTTCAATCTTTGATGCGTAGTACTATTTTTCTTTCATTGGTACTTTTTTATTTGTATATTTCAGGGATTTGGTGAATCTATGAAAATATCATTAGGCTTGGATTTTTTGTATGTAGACTCTCTTAGTTGGTGGTGAGTCTATTTTGGTAGATGAATCTGTTATTCTGGTTGTGATGAATTGTTGCACTATGATACATTGATGTTATGTTTTCTATATTGGTGGATGAGTCTGGTGTCTTGGTTTTGATGTTCTGCTGCTGATGCTGTCTTATGCTTTGGTTTGGTGTTCTGCACTTATGCTGTTGCTGATGCTAGCTGTCTGTAGGTGGTTGTGATGCATTGCTGCACTATGATACATTGATGTTATGTTTTCTATATTGGTGGATGAGTCTGGTGTCTTGGTTTTGATGTTCTACTGCTGATGCTGTCTTATGCTTTGGTTTGGT